CCACTGTCAGGTAAACATACCGGTTCTGATTCGATTTCACAAAATCCATTCCAGCTGTCTTTTTCCAGACGGGACGCAGGCTGGCAGATATCATCACTGAGATCGTCTGAGTCCATCAGGCGGCGCCTTTTAACTCGAGGACCCATTTCGGTTCTTTTCAAAAGTAGTAGCTGTAGAGCTGTAGAGCTGTAGAGCTTCAAGATGAGATTGAAATGAGAGGAAGCTATGATAAAAGGAGTCCTGAGATGATAATAAGTTTGCTCTTCCCACTGAGGGGAACAGAAAGGGAGCCAGGTATCAAATCTTGAAAAATATGAAATCTTTTATAGAACTAGACACCAGACGTCGGCAATAGAAGACAATACAGGGACAGAGAGAAGCGGTTAGGTCATGTCGTTGAGTGGGCCGAGCTTCTCCCGACGCGCTTCCCGCGTCTCCAACTTTTTTGTTTCTTTTTCCATCTGCTATAGGCACGAATTGCCACTAGACAGCTCCAAACACCTTCCTTGGACCTCATTTAGAACTTCTTAAAGCTTTAGAAGGGCCAACATCGCACTCTCACTACATCCCCCATCTTTCGCCAGCTCCGGCAACCACAGCATGCCATGAACGGCACTCCCCTCCTCCCATCTGCCTTTCCGCAGACACCTAAAACAATCCCTGGAACTGGAAGGAGAAAGCTCTTTGAGACTCCTTCGCGATCGCAGCCACGAGAGACCCGGGCTGGGCGAACGCCACTCAGATCACCATCCAAATCGGCCTCGAGGGCGTCGAGACCACCACCCCCGAACGCGAACACCGATGTGCCACTGATCCCCACCAATTTGATCGATGCTCCATCTCAACGACTCTATGTCGTTGCAATATATTTTGCCTTGAATGCGTGGCGGATTTACGAGTCCTTGACTGCATCCGATGACCTCGATTCAACCTGGTTGTTGTTGAAATGGGCCACGATCGATGGAATCTTCTTGGTCGGGCTGCAGACTCTGCGTATACCTTGGCTAGAATGGGCATTCCCGACTACGCTCACTCTATTCCTTCTTCATGCCGTGGGCAATGTCTTTTTGATGTTCCGCATCCCAGTGAGTTTTTTTCTTCTTTTTTTAGACTGTCGATCCGCGCTAATACCTGCAGATTCCTTGGGCTGCATGGTTTACTGGACTAGTAAAGGTGGCATACGATCGCGAATTATCCGTTTCTGAGCGCAGGGTCAAGCCCGGCGATATCATTCACAATGCGTCATTGATCCTGGGAAGGCAAATTGTGCACATTCTGCCGGAGGGGTAAGCTATGCCGTTCGAATATACCCACCTCAGATCATACTGACTTTATAATAGATCTGCCGTCCTCAATCCGGATCGAACCTCGCTTTGCCTCGATTCTCTGCAATCCACAATCGACCTGCCCATCCGTGTCAACCAGACCGACCCGATCCTTATCGAAGTGTTGCGTCTGGATTTTAACACTGGCGAAAATGAAACCATTAGCATTCCGGCGAAACAGCTGAAGACTCTCAAAAAGCAGGCGGAAAAGAAGCATGTTCCCGGTCAACTCCACCGCGACTTGCTCTTCCCTGTGCGCAAAACGGGTGTCTATCGTCTCCAACGGGTGGTGGACGAGTCTCAACTTGATGTTCATACGCGAACATTTGATGCACTGGTGGTCTCTTGCCCGCGAGCCTTGATCAAAAACTCACACATCGACAAGTGCAAAGGGGAATTGTCCGACTTCAAACTGGAGGTGGAAGGCACACCTCCCTTGAAAATCAAATACAGTCGCCAGGTCAACAATCTCGATCGTGGATTTTCGGTCCTCAACATTCAGCCCGATCATCTGCGCTCTCCGCTGCTCAATGGAAGAACTACGGCTGCTCTGTACAGCATCAACCAGCCCGACGTTTCGTGGGCGCAGAGTCAAAAGATTGAAGTTCCATTGAATGAATCGTTGAACGACGGCGGAGAATGGTTTTACACCATCGAAGAGGTCCATGATGCTATTGGAAACGTTGCCAATTATTCTACCATCTTTGATGAAGGAGATCGGCCGTCCACAAAGTCGCAATCCCAGTGGTACCAATTCTCCGTTCACGAGCGCCCGCAGTTGTCACTGCAAACCTGTAATTCCGAGAATCCGCTGCAAGTGGCCAAGGGAGATAGCACGAGGTTCCCCTTGAGCTTTCATCCCGACGGTCACGCATATACTAACGATGGTCCCTTTTCGGTCGGTTATTCGTTCACGGGCAACAACCAAGAAGCAGCACGTGAACAGATCGTCGATCTGAAGCATATGAATCAGACTTTAGACATCAAAGAGCCTGGTTTGTATGCCTTGACATCAATCTCTACCAAGTTTTGTCCTGGAGAGATCCTCGAGCCTTCATCTTGCCAGTTGCATAACCCACCTGAGCCAGAATTGACAGTCAAGGCTGAAAAGATATTCGACCGCTGTGCCAACAACGCTATTGGATTACTTGTGGATTTAGATCTCACGGGATCGCCTCCGTTCTCTCTCCGATACAGCATTGAGAGCTCCAAGGGCGTTGTTTCCAAAGTACAAACCATCGATGGAATGCGCACGCAGCTCGACTTCACCCCGTCGGAAGCCGGCTCATACACCTATCGTTTCATAGACATCGAAGACGCCGTCTACTCGCCACGGTTTCTCAATATTCCGGTGCTTGAACAAGATGTAAAACCACCGGCTTCGGCTCATTTCCTATCAAGAAGATTGAGAACCGCCTGCTTCGGTGAGGCTGTTCCTCTGGAGGTATCTTTCCTTGGAGAGGCCCCTTGGGTCTTGCAATATGAGATCGTCCACAATGGGAAGCGATTGAGGAAGGCACTCGAATCCGATACCGATGTGGCAACCATCACGACTGACAAACTGGTCAGCGGTGGTGACTACACCGTGTCTCTGACCAGCGTCAAGGATATCTCTGGTTGCAAACGAACTCTCAAGGACAGCATCAATGTTGAAGCCCGCTCGCAGCCCCCGCACGTCTCTTTCGGTCAGATTGACAAGAAGAGAAGTGTCTTGGCTTTGCAGGGCTCCAAGATTGAGCTTCCATTGAGGCTGAGTGGCGAGCGCCCTTGGACTGTCAAGTACAAGAATGTTGACGCGGAATCGGCGCCCGTTCAGAAAACCTTCCGGGACGAAAACAGTGTCTTGGCCGTCGACAAGCAGGGCTTGTATGAGATCATAGAAGTATTTGACGCCGGTTGTCCTGGAACCGTGGACCAGTCTGCAAAGGAATTTGAGGTCTCGTGGATTCCACGGCCCGAAATCACTGCCTTGGACGGCTCACCCATTGGAGCCGCTAAGGAGTTTGCAAAGTCCGAGGTCTGTCAAGGCGACGATGACAGCCTTGAGGTTCGGCTGTCGGGCAATCCTCCATACAGTGTTCAATACGAGAAGCGACGCAAGACGGACCGTGGAGGGTTCTCTGCGGCGAAGCCACGGGCTTTGAAGTCTGCTCTTCATGTGACTTCGATGGAGATGGATACCTCCGAGGCTGGAGAATACAGCTACAAATTCACACAAGTTGGCGACAGCCTCTACGACCACGATCCCAAGAGCAACGCTCTGGTTGTGACACAAAAGGTCAACCCGCTACCGTCCGCTAAATTCGACCAACCTGGCCACGTCTTTGGCTTCTGCAAGGAAGATATCAACGGCGAGGAATCCATCCCCATTACCTTGGAGGGTGTCCCACCATTCACGCTGGAGATCAATATCAAACACCACTCGAACGCCAAGCCGGAGATTGTCACGATTTCCAAGATTAATTCCAATCGCCATAAACTGCTGATTCCTCGTCGCCATCTTGACTTGGGGCAACACCAAGTCAGCATCCACAAGGTTCGCGATTCTCGAGGATGTCAAAGGACCACTGAGCTTGATGCCTCCTCGGTGCGGGTCGCCATCTCCGACGTTCCTACCATTGTCCCGCTCGAGTCCAAGACCGACTACTGTGTGGGCGAACGACTTTCATTCGCGCTGTCAGGCCATGCTCCATTTGATGTGTTCTACACGTTCGATGGCGCCAAGCGCAAGGCCACTACCCAAACCACTAACTTCCGTCGTATTGCGGAACTTCCCGGTCAGTTCACCATCAACGCCGTCAGTGACGGAGCTAGTGGGAAATGCAAGGCCCACAAAGACATCACCAAGGTTATCCACGCTATGCCGAGCGTGCGGATCAGCAAGGGTAAAGAATCGGTGGTGGACATTCACGAGGGTGGAGAAGCCGAGCTTCACTTTGAGTTCTGGGGTACACCACCATTCGAATTCACGTAAGTCAATAGCCTCTACCTATGCTCTGTATAACAGTTTGCTAATATTCCACAGATACATTCGGAGCTCGAATGCCCGCAAGGGAAAGAAGTCGGAGATTCTTGATATCAAGCACGACATCTCATATGAAAACGTCAAGACCATCAAGACCTCTGATGAGGGAACTTACGAGGTTATCGCGATCAAGGACAAGTACTGTTCATTCTCTTCCCAGACTCCGGGCAAGTCAGACAGATGAAGCAGAGAAATCAAATGATGAGATGAATGTGGTGTACTACTTGGTGTTATTATGAATCTTGTTATTTACCTTGGCTTTTTCTTCCAATTTGCATTGCAGCGGCGCTAGCACTTCAATTTCAGACATCTACATGCTTTCTGTCAACCCAATTGAACTTTGTCTCTAAAGCTGTTGGGATTCTCAACCACTATGTTTACTCGAGCCTAATTATATCGCGGCCCTGTTTTCCATTCGAGGGGACGACAACGAATATACTTGGAATAAAAGCTAAATCAATGTATCAAGAAGCAATCCGAGCAGTTGCTTTGGTTTTAAACCTGATACCGGGCTAGAACTTTTGATAGTACTGCGTCCTGCGTGGCCTTTAACGATCCTATTGTCTTTAGAAACCTGCGACCATTTTGCCTGTCCGGCCCAGCCAATTCCTGCCGCCACAATAGCCTGGCGTGCTTCCGTATCCCATCTCTCAGTAGTCGGGAGTACAGATACTAGAAGGCGTGACCCGACACAAGGGCGTTCCGAAGTAGCTGGGGGCGAGCTCCCGACCACTGAGGGATGGCACGCGGAAGCAGACCAGACTATTGGTACAGTGGCGGCAGGAATTGGCAAGGCCGGACGGGCAAAATGGTCGCAGGTTTCTAAAGACAACAGGATCGTCAAAGGCAACGCGCAGTATGTATTGTAGGCGGGTATCATCCACACCGAACATAGAGGAGCGCAACTCAGCGTTCAGCAGAGCCTCAACTATTTTCGTCGATACGCTGTTGCAATTCCCTCCTTGCTGAATTTATATCCGAGCTAAGAGTCAGCAAGATCCGGTGTATCTGGACCTTTGATAATGACTGGAGATTGTCGGTCCTATCTATAGAGGATGATGTCAGCTGTCGGCTTAGATCAACGAGGATGGACGGGAAACATACCCCATATTGAATAAATAGTATTCCTCGTATATATGTAAGACTCCACACAGGACCGGATTTGATGACGACGACATGGCTATTTGGAGAGGTGAAGACGAGGAAGGCTTTTTGGCTGAGCTAGGACAGCCTAGGAGTTTGCGCATTCCCATTTCTTCCCCATCGCAGGTCTCGAAGTTGTGTTCCGTACCAGGAGGTGGCGAGATCAAGGTTGATAGAGAGGAGATGGCCTATGGCGTTTCGTTTGGCTTCTTGGTTGGAACTGAGATGGTTAGTTTTGGTAGAAATAGCACTTACAAAATACATACTTCTGAAATTCTCTCGACTCAACAACGATTCTGTACGCGAGTAAAGTAGTAAGTTGAAACTTGTGGAAATATATATAAAGTAAGAGTTGGAAAGATGCTAAGTTGATGGAATATATATAGAGCCTTTGATATAGCGTGAGATAGAAGAGGAATAGTTGAATCTGGGGGGGGGAAGGAAGTGGAATTTATATAGACAAAGTCAGGGCAAAGAACAAACAACATTCTTTGTTTTTTTTGAATGCGTGATGTTTTACAATTCTAATTTACAGCTCAACCTGTACAGCCACCATACTCTCCGACATGAACCCAGTAACAAAGAGCCAAGCCAGTCTTTCACCAGCCTTAGGCTCAATAGGCACCAAAACAGCGGCACTCGCAGTCCGAACCCTAGACCCATCATCCTCAAACAGCACCTTCTTCTCCCAGACCCCAGTGTGCGAATTGAGAGTCGTATACCACACCTGGATCGGATCTTTGGCATTCGGATCCTTAGCATTCCCCAAAAAGCGAATAGCCTGCGAGATACCGGCGGCCAGGAAGCCGCTCGCATCATGCGAGTCAGTGCGGTATGGGTCTTCATAGTAGGACGGGTTATCAGCGAGAGAACTAGGAAAGGCAATCGAGGTATCGATAGAGAGTGAGTGATTGGACTCGTGCCGGGTTGCGAGGAAGATCTCGCCGCCCATAGCGCTAGCAATGACAACTTCGTCGTCGGTGCGGCCGTGCCCGAGACCGTTGTTGTTCCATAGACCCGTCAGCGCGACGGAGGCTTCGACGGGTGCGTCTTTGCTTGCCAGATCCGCGATCTGCACGGAGATGATGTTGGACCACTTGGCTGAGCGCCAGACGGCTTCGAGGAGTCGCAGGGGCCCCTCGCGGTAGAAGTGGTCGTTAGTGACATAGAAGGAGACCGGGCTGACCGCGTAGATGTCGTTGGGGGTTTTAATGAGCGGGTGGCTGATTGAGCGCACATGCCGGACAGAATCGGAGTTGAGGATGTGGTGGAAGAGCTCAATCTGGGACTGGGCTTTGGGGACGTCCTTGGGCTCGCCGGCTTCAAAGTATGCCGGGTTGGGCAAGTGGTTGACGGCGTAAATGTAGACGGCGTCCGAGTCCTCGGGGTCCTCAATGACATCGATTCCATGTGTCACGAAGGTGCCTTGGAAGTTCTCGAATGCCAGACGAGTTGATTTCATAGTCTATGTTTGGGGTTAATTTTTGATATTTGATTTCAATCTGCCCTGAACAAAGTCACCTTAGGATCCACGACATGAATAGAGCCTTGGGTCGCGACTGGCAGGAAGTGGCCAATCGGCGGGAACCAGCTAAACCGCGTGCTTTTGTCGTCCTCGCAGGCAGTGAACAGCAGGTTCGCCGGGCGGTAGTGATGCACATCCTCGCAATGGATGGTGTCTTGGATGTAGATTGGGCCCTGGCCTGCAGCTAGCACTGTCGAATTAGGCGTGAGGAAGACCCCTGCAATCTGCACGAAATGGCTGATTGGACCAGCCAAGAATGCGACCAGAGCGACTAGGCCGAGACCGACGATGCTTAGTCCCATTGTATCAAATGTGAAAGAATCTGGGGATATAAAGCGAAAGAAGTGACAAATTCCAAATTTATAGCCATTTCTCGACCCCTCACTGAATTCCCGAGGTTATTCAGTTCGGGAATCTCTGCGAGGGCAAAAACTTGGAACTCTTGGCAGTTCCCAGGGAGACTTGGTCACTGCATACATGTAGGGAGGAGGCAAGGACTCGATGCTTATGTCGATGCTTAATAGGGTTAGCGTACTACACAATCAAAATCCTCAAAACAGCGAAAGTGCATTGAACTATCTCAGGCAAAAATGTAGTTCTTTTTTTTTTCTTTGCTTGTTTTCGTAGGCCAAAAAAAAATATCAATCTCATTAAGTCTAGTCATGCTCGGAGTGACTAGACCTCAGCGGCAAAGTCCGAAAAAAAAAGAAGTAAAAAAGAGTGCAGTTGTGCAAATTCCCATTCCCATATCGTGTCGTGATGATTTCCTTCGAACATTTTCAATTTGTGGCCTGCTTGGCTTCAATATATTCCTGATCACTGGCGTCAAGAACGTCATATTCTTCGTCCGTCAGGAAGCCAGTGTCGGCGTCAGTGAAGGTATCGTCCAAAGTCAGGCTCTCAACGTCTTCTAAAACGTCCACTTCCGAAGAATTCGACAAGCTCGGTGCCTGCGGGGCAGGAGCCTCGGCTTGGTGAGTGCTTGACTCCGGAGATTCCTTCTCTAGCTTGGGGAAGATCATGCCACTGCTGGCAATTTCAGATACGCCAGAGTATGTCTCGTGGGTCTCAGCTTTTTCCAGAGAAGCGGTCTCCACCTCAAGATCACACCACAGACGATGACCAATGGCCACACCGTTAGGGAGTTTCAGACGCCAGTAGGAGATAGCAGGGCCTTCGTGTTGAGGAGTGCGAAGGTTGACAGTAAAGTCAGCCTTCTCGCCTGGCTCCACAGGGGCAACCAACTTGGTGCTTTCCATGGCCGAGCGAATAGACTCGACGCTAGACGGGTGGCAGACATCGACGTTGAACATCTTGTCTCCACCGACGAAGCGCACATCACAGCCAACGGGCCATGCTAAAGGACCGGGGTTGTAGAGAGTCCAGGTCTGGCGGAACGTGGTGTTTGGGGCCATCTTTGTACCGTCAGTGACAGTGTCACGGATAAAGAATGCCCTGTAGTCCGTCATATCAGAGCTATCAGTTCCGAGAAGGGGCTCGTCCACGAATGGCTGAGGCTCATCCTTCTCCACAGGTTTGCTAGCATCCACCTCAACGGGTTCCGGCTCCGCAATCTCGATCTGCTCAACGGGGCAAGTGGGGGCACGAGGCTGGTCACCTAGGACAACTGCTCCACTCGAGCCGTCGTCGCCCATGGTGCTCACAGTCACATTGCGGACCGGGGTGTTGAACTTGACCAGCGGATGAGTGCGGTTGTGGTGGTTGGTCGGGAGGGCCTCGCAGCTCGCACAGAAGTCGGTGTCATCACAGACAGCGCACTTGTAACGAACTCCGTTGATGTAGCTCTGAGCAGGTTTGCTCTTGCACAGTGGACCATCACAGAAGATGCCATAGTGAATTTCGTGCTCACGAGCTGGCTCACCGATAGTCTCGTAAACTTGCACAAACCGATGACCAGGGTGGCTCTGCGAAGAAGTCAAGATGCAATCGGGGCAGAAGTCCCAATCGGGGCAGGCCAAGCACTTGTGACGAACACCAACGATGCGCTAGCAAAAATTAGCCGAGGACCTCCTAAGCAAGTGGAATGTGTGAGTAAATACCTTGTCACAGCCGTCACAGACAGCGGAGTGTCGGAACTGCCGACCGGGAAGGCAGCGAGACGTGATCAAATTCTTCAAGCAAAAGTTCCGGTCAGATCCGAGGTGGAAGGTATGGCCAGGGTGGTGTCCATGCTTATTTCGGAGCAGGCAGCGAAGGCAAAGATCATAGTCCTCGCAGTCATTGCAACGGACGAGATTGATTTCGTCGACTTCTGTGTGTTGTGAGCAAAGAGAAAAGAGAAAGGGAGGTGAGAAAGAGAAGACTTACCACGACAGCATCCATTACACATTGGCTTGTCATCACCTTGAATGGTGGCTGCATCCAAACAAGCTGACGGGGCCGCTGGCTCTGGGATCGACTCTTGGATCAACTCAGGGACTGACTCAGTGACCGACTCAGGGATGTGGACCACCGGCTTAGTGATCACTTCGCGCTGAATCTGCCGAGGCAGCATGGGGTTGAACTCCAGTGCTGATTGATCACGGGGAGGAATAGTCTCGGTGGTACTGTTTGTGACGACACCATCCTTGACGGTCCTCTTGATCAACCAGTGACCTTCACCGCGGCAAGATGCGCCGGCACCGACACACAGTAGACACAAGTCATAGTCCCCGTTCTCACAAATGCTGCAGTGATAATGCGCATTTGCAATAGACCGGCCACAGTGATTGCAGTCAATGCAGAACATCCCGTTGGACGAGGCGTGGGAGATGACCGGGAACTGATGTTTTTCTTGGTCCATCTCGAAGTTGCGGTAGCGAGGTTGACCGAGAGGAAACTCTTTCTCACCAGTGGAACAAGGGAATTGGGCTGAGTCCATGAGAGGAAGGGTATCGGGAGGTGGTAGAGGTCTCAGGACTGTTTCGAGATAACTGTGACGAGTGTGGTTGGTTGACTCCATCGGCACAGTGGGTTCTGATGGTGCTGGGGTTGGGGCGGATGTGTTTTTGGAAGGAAGAGTAGTAACCTTAATACGGAGCTTAGACTTTGCCTTGGCAGCCCGGTAGAGCTGTTTATAGACTGCGATGTTGTCACAGTCCAAGCGAACGTAAGAGCCAGCACTGTCGGAATAGCGTTCAAGGATGACGTTGACATCCGCCGGAACGCCGAGCAGTTTCCTAAGCTAAACGAAAAATTAAGTCAGTCGAAAACAACACGGTATTTCTGATTAGGGTTGGAACAAATTATTTCGATACAAATATAATCTGATGATCGTTGAAGATAAGTCGGACTCCAGATCCGGAGCTTGAGTGGAGACTTACAGTCTGGGGGAACATCTCGGCCTTCAGCTCCCTGAGAGGCATCTTGAAGCGACGGTTACTGTCATTGTAGAGGACTTTGACAGTAACCAGATTCTCTGGACTGGAATGAGAAGTAGTA